AAATTAAATATTATTTTTCTATTATTAATCGATAACCTTGGGAGCAAATATATACATAGAATAAGTATCAAATTTTCTTCGTCTTTTACTAAATTACTAATGATAACGTAATTTTACTATATACTCGTGTAATTGCGTCAATTAAAATCAATTTTATCGTTTACCAAATAAGGTTTACAAAATTTAATATGCGTCAAATTGACGCGTTCCATCAACCTAGTGTTAAATTTATTGTAATTTATTTGTTTGTCTGTTAGCGAGACGTTTCTCCGAATACGAATGGCTTTTCGACAAGTATGCTTTCTTCTTTAATTAACAGTGAACTTGATCCGTTGCTTTGATGTCAAGTGTATTGGGAACGTGGTCTAGTGGTTTACTTTTTTATTAAGCTGATGAAACGCTCCTCGAGCAGGACTTTAAAGCGATCATTTACAAACAAAGGCATTAGAGGGTTTGTAGTTTTTAACACTGCATTCACAAGTAACTAATTTACAAATTTCTGTTTATAATAAACTCTCCAATAACAGAAACAATATTTCATTACATATTGATATACAATGACAGAAAGAAATTTCAGTTGCAAATAAATTTATAAATTTTTAATGGAATTGTTTCAAATTTCACCAAAATTTGTAATAGACGTCTTAAAAATGTTATTACTTTATTATACTTCTCTTTTTTCATACCTGATTCCTCTATTCTCTATTATTTATTATTAAACAAATTAGTAAAACAAAGTAAGGTATTAAAACTAAAATATCATATTAAATATTAAACATACTCTTACCCCTTAATTTATCAGGGAAGCTTCGGCATTCCTTCCACAGCCCATGTAACAGTGAACAAATTTTCGAGTGCAAAGACGTAAAGTATTAAAATCAAAGTTATTCTCTTACACCGGAATTACATATCACGCACATCTAGATGTTTTTTTTTTGTTGCAAAATTTCTTATAACGTCTCATTTGTCACTCCACACAAAATGGTTAGCACTAGAACTATCAGGTTTGGTCCAAATAACCCATTCCTAATTTCTTCTTTTACAATTACTGCAAAGGTATAGAGACTACTTTGAGTAATGATTCAAGAAACTGATTTAGTAATACCTAAACTGAAATATAAGCCAAATGAAATCTTAATAAATCCACGTTTACAGCTTTTATAAAGAAATTTTAAAAAGACGATTTGTACATAATATAAAAAAAGCAAAATTCTTTGCGCAATATTTTGTCAAATCCCCCACGCCCATGGGGGCCCTCCTTGGTAAGCCTTCGCGGCAGGAACTTGGAGGATAATCGGACTTCCCTCTGATACGTTACCCAGTAATATGTAAAAAGTATTTCATCCGCGTAACAGAAACTCGCAAGAAACCGTCTCCATTGCGAACAAGGTAACCCAATGTTTAAATATGTTTGCCGTGACACCGTCGACGGAATTCTGCCCAGTCTTTCCTCAGAGTTGTCCCGAGGGATGATGGTGCATTGAATATTGAAGACGTTTGAGACCAACCAGCCCTTTTCACTGCGCCAACGTCCCCTTAAAACGTTTATGCGCCCTCCACTCGATTACCTGACCTCTTCGGCATCTTTTATTCACCTTTCTCCCGTGGAAATTCAGCTACTCGCGAGCGCAGTCAGCGGTGTCTTTGTTATCTAGGCAAAATTCATCGCGTTTTCAAGATTTTCTACCTATCCGCCCACTTTATCATAAGATGTTCAGAATTCTGCCGTTTTGTGCAATCAGCTTGAAAGTGTAGAACTTGCGATTGCGAATTCTATGCATTCGTTGAGCTTATGTGCAGATTACGTAAAATTATTCTTTGAATAAAGATATTTATGGATTTCTTTTTTATTAAAGATAGAACTAAATAGAGATTTTGTTTTCATTGTTAGGCTGATAGCGAAATGTTGTTTCATGGTTTGAAATTTAGAGACAAGTTTTATTTTATTGAGTTAAACTTCATTAGCCTATTGTCAGATTCGAATTAATATAAAATCTCGTTAAAGTTTAGTAAACGTATTATTAGAGCAGATTCACCGTAAATAAAGTATTATTGCAAATAGAGAATATATTGTTTTCATAAAATAGAAGAAAACAGTGTTATTTGTTATTAAACTGTAGTTACTTATCTAAATACTTAATTTTATAAACAATTTAATAGTAATTTCTTTTTAATATTAATTTGTAATTACTCGATAATTATAGTGTTAATTTACAAAAGAAATTAACACTAGAATTACCGAGTAAATTAACTGTTTTGTGTTTTTTATAAAAATTGCAAACATGTATTTATCTAAAAGAAAAAATATAAAAAATAGGTTACTTTTTCCTGTTTGTTAGTTTCAACATCGTTTTGTTAAATAATTTCGATTAACACCATTATAATATGAATAATTGCAAAATAAAATACAAATCCGAATAACTTTAAATCAAGAAAATGATCTGGACAGAAACTGCCTTCATTCGATTCATTGTTTAGTTCGCAAAATGCGGCATAAAGCGTCATCCACGGTCGTCTATTCCGAAGGATGACGAACGTGTAACAATGGTTCTGGTCGATAACAATGATTGGCCGGACTTCGTTGACCCCCTTAGCTTGCTCACGTACCCGAGCCTCGCCCAAATGTTATAAATTGCTGTTTTTCTGTCGAAAATACCTTAGCAGCTTCGTGACTGCCGCATGACATAATTGAAGCTGTTATCGTAATTAAATATGAAAATGTGATTAGACGTTAATTAATTAAATTGCTTTCAGAACGAGGATGTAAAAAATATTGAAGGTAATAAAAAGGTTAATTTGAAAGACATTTAAAATCATAAAGTATATTTAAAATCATTTTTCTATTTTGTACTTATATATGAAATAAAATAATTTACAGTAGACTTTCAAGAATTTTCTTTTATTGCATAGTTTATTCTCTTCTTCGAAGAGTTTAATGTTACAACATTGTTAACATTAGAACTACCAGAGAGGTCAGAATGACCCATTCCTCATTTCTTATCTTTAGAATTATTGAGAAGATAACACGATTCTCTGAGAAATTATCAAAGAAATTAATTCAGCAATACGCAAACACAATTGTAAATGAATAGAAATGTCAATATATGCACTTTTAGAGTTTCTATCGAAAAATTTTAACAATTCAATTTGATTGTTCGATAGTTTTAATTTTAATTTTCAATGTTTAAATTATAGATTTAATTTCTTAATGAAAAGTTATCAGGTTATTGGTCTTAATAATCATAACCGTCGAATCAACTCAAAGCTTGCAAATAAAAATAAAATTTCTGTGTCAACAATTTTGTATCAATGAAAGAATAATTTATTAAAAATCTCACGATTATAAACTAAGAAGTTAACGTCACTCCACAGAAAATTTAATTTTCGTAATATTCCATTAATTTCACCCCATAAAGGATCAAATCAACATAAAGTTCGTTCACGTGAACGCCTCTTGGAAAATCTGCATTTCACTTTCACAGGAACACGTTCTCTATTTCCAGAGGTGGGCTATTAAGTTCGCGTCATATCGGGGACGGGGGTGACGAGATAAATCGACAAATTATGCGATGTTTATTGCCCCAGCGTTCGCGGGCATTCATTAAGCGTACGGGTGACACCCGAAAATAGCGAATCATTCGTTTGCCGGGACAGTGATGCAGGGCATGCCCGTAATTTTGAGCAAGGGCTGGTTGCGTTTTAATATTTTACTAACAATAAGGCATGAAGAAGCGTCTCAAGTGGCTGGTAAAGAGCCTCGTTTCATTGTTCGACGAGAGACCATGCCGATAAAGGTTTCCACGTACTTCTTGATCGCTAGTTGATTATTTTCTAGACGGGAAGGTGTTATCGAGATTCTGCTCTGCTTCTGGAGCCGGTCCTTTAATCTAGAACATATTTGGCAAGTGAACAGTTAGGAGTTGGTTATTGTTTTCTATTAAACATTAATTGCAAAATATTAATGAATAAATGCATATATAGAAATTTCAACGAATTGTGGGCGTGTAGGTGGTAGCAAAATATTCAGTATTGAAATGAGCTGTATTAGCCTGTGTGAACAATTTTATATTTTCTTTTATATAATTTGTTGCTTTACTGTAAATTAACTGAGAAATATAAATGAAAAATGCTTCTGGGGGAATTTTAAGCGAATTCTGGAGATAGTAGCAAGATGTTCAGTACTTAAATGAAGCTTTATTAGCTTATACGGAGAACTAGGTTTTCCTTAAAGACATTTCTGCATTTTGTTTTATATAATTTGTTACATTCTTTTGAAAATTTAATAAAATTGTTCTAAAACCCTATTTTTTTTAAACATTTTCACGTCGATTTATATTTCTTTAACGACTCGATAGAACTGGATAGAAAGTACATATTTTTATTGTAATATACATATTCGATTGGAACATATATAAGTTTTGTTGCAAGAAAAAACAGGTTCTGTTTCTAAGAATTTAGTTATGACTCACTGCGAATGACTCCTTCAAACTGGAAAACTCATAAGTAACAATGGAAGTTACATGATTGATTGTATGGAATTCTGTACTTTGCTAATAAATGTAGAAAATGCATATAATCAAGCATATATATTACAATCCATTAATATTTATAAGCAGAACTGATTTCAATTTGTGTGATTGATAGGCATATGAAAGTATTAGATTGTGTTACATGTTAAAATTCCTATGAATAACTAGATAAAAATTATGAAATATTTTGTCTAGTTATATTATATATATCCGGTTCACTGAATTTTTTCAGTTTTTTTATTTATTGTAATTCGTATGAAATATTATCTGTATAATTAATCATAAACTTCACAGAAGTATACGAAACAAATACAGTAACAAAACTTATACTGCAAAGTTTTATTTCAAACGTGTTTTATGTATTTTTGATAAACTGAACGATACCAAAATACGGTTGCTTATATATGTATCATTTTCTATGCCAAAAATGAAAGTAATAATTAAATATTTCTTTCTCATTTATTGTTACAGGCCAAACAACGTGCCTCCGTGAAATGGCTTCTGTCGAAGGCGTACAACAACCGAGTGCCCGAAAACCTTCGCGAGCCGTATTATGTTGATCATGAGGTATGTGAATTCAGTTTTTCGGACTCAGACATTAGTTAATTTCAATCCTTTAACTACCAAAGATCGTTTTATGGATAACACACGCCGCAGTGTTTCTTGTATCCTAAAAGTGGTCATAGTCACCCATGAAAAATTTGCATTTATTAAAAGGTGTCCCTCCTTGATCTTATTTTTCAAATTTCATTATTTAGGTTTACCCTTGCTCTGTAAAATTTTTGAAATCTAAAATACGCCCTTCTTCTAAACATCTATTCAACCATAGCATCAGTTGTTAACCCTCTGTATTTTGAATATAGCGATATTTCTAAAATAATTTTAAAAAATTAGTTCTTAAAAATTATTTTTAATCATTTTAACCTATATAAAATATTAATTGATAAATAAAAACTTTTAGTTCAGCAATATGGACTATTTAAAGGACTGTTAAAAATCTTATCTATTTATGACTTAACTACGATTTTCAATTTTTATTTCAAAGTATTATAAAAATTTGACTAACATTTAATATAATAAATTAGGCATTGTAATAAGTACTTTAAAATTTGTTCACATTCACAAAACTCAGAATAATAAAAAATCAAAACGGATCATGAAATGTTTATATTGCCGGCTACGTTGATGAAAAATCATATTTCCGGCGGAGGGTTAATTAATGATTTGATCATCAAGTGTCAAGTTGTAATCTATCAAATTTCCTATTATCCCAAAATTATTTTCGTTTGTTATTCACACGTTATCCTCGATGCAATTTCTTAACTCTCTACGGTCAAATGTCGTAAGGGCGACTTCAAGCTTCGATATCTAAAATCGATAACTGCAAATGAATAATTTAATTATTCAACTAACAAGACATTGACGTGTGGTTCTTATTCTTTTAGTATCTAAGAAGATTAAGACAATTTCGCCCGCAAAGAGTTAAATTATCTTACAGTTCTTAAAAACGAAAAAAACTTCAACTTGAAGTTGAGATTCTTCAAGTTTCTCTTACCACTATGTCGCTAACTTTCTTCATTGATCACGAGCCCGATCAAAGAAATACAATAAAACAAGAACCACGAATAGTTCGATAAAAACTCCGTTCTCGTTCCCAGTTAACACAGCTGTTAATAAAAAGGACAAGCTCGTAGTTTTAACTTAGAGTTAAAACGTACCGTGATTGGTAAATGACCGGTTTTAAAATTTAATTTAAAATTCTGCACTTTCTTCGTCCATGTAATTTTATATCAATTCTTAAATTCTCCGATGAATCAGTTTCTCAGTTTTAGTCATTCCTTTGTTTCCGTTTCCAACAAGAAAAATTTATCCCTTAATTTGTTTACCTTTATTTTATAACCAGTTATAAACAGTTATAGAACTGCTTTTTCAGTTTTTCATTTCACGTCTACATGACTGTTTCAAGAACCGAAAAATAACAATAATAGAAACGTTTCAGAACCGATATTATAGAACCGGAACCGAAATCAATATAGCTCAGAACCGATATATCGAATAACAGTTATAACTTATTTATTCATAACTGTTTCAAAAACCGAAACCGATATCATAATTGTTTTCAATCCTTGGTTACGATAGAAATAGACATATAAAGTGCCGGTATGTTTATTGTGAATTCGGAGCGGTTTATTCATCGGCACACCTGGCAGTTCATACATTGAGAACCATCTCCGATGAAAGTTTAATTTCGCTAAGTGTGCTCTGCTTTAATAAGGAGGAGATACGTATCATTTTTTCATACGACATTGTGGAGAGCAACGGGGTGCTTAAAGGGTGGCTTCCTCGGCTCTTTTAAAGTGTCCTGGAAACTCTTTTGTGGCACACGTCGTTATTTAACCGTGGAGGAAACCGGTTCGTGAAAGGCATACAAAGTTACCGACCGTTTGTTTGAGAGATGCTAATAAACTTTTTTCGGGGAAGGACTCCTGGCGAAACTCGATAATAAGCGCGGAAATCTTAGGGAAACTCTTCAAGAAATACCGGGAACAGACGTGAAGGTACTTGTATAGAAATGTGCAAATGTTTGTGTTTTGTATCAGTACATTAACGTATTGACTGTCGTGAGAATCTGGAGAGTTTTATCAATGAAACATATTTTTATATATTTTATGATAACCTACAATAATCCATTAAAACATGTTTTTTAATATCACGTGCATTATAAAATACTCTTTTTAAATTAAATCAAAGATTTCATTAAAAATGAATATAAATTAAGTTAAAGATAATATTTTGACGTAATGCACGGTTAATAATATAAAGTTATATATATTTATAATACAAACCTCAGTTCGATTAATTCAGTATTTATTAAAAAAGGAAACGACGCCGAGCATAATATATGCAATAAATATTAGTACAGTTACGAAAGATATCATAGGGTACAAGGTTAACGCTAGGTTTAAAGCCATTTATTGCACAGTGTATTCTACTGTTCTAATTGCAAAAATTTACCCAATAATGTTTGGAACTAAGTTAAGGAACTAAGCTATTTCATTGCAATATTTCACATATTGATATACTGAACAAAGCTTAATAGCAACTACGAAATTATATAATGTAATAGTAATAAGTATAATTGGTATATTTGTATATTATTTGTATATTTCACATTATACTGTATTTTAAGTATAAGTATATACTGAGTATATCTCATAATAAATATAATTTTACTGTAGCACATAAAATAATAATTAAAAGTCCCCTCTCGAATACAAAGGGTTAATATTTTATCACACGTCTCGCACTGTTGTTCGATATAAACGCACAAACATCCGCAGCCCGTTAATGATATAAAAAAGAAGAACCTTGTTACGCCATTATGGTATCGCAACCGCACCTTACGTTTCGCGTACAACATATGCGCGCGGGCGTCGGTTGTTGTCGCTGATCCAGTTAAACCAATCAGATTAACTCACGATAGGTCCCCGCTCGACCTCTTTTGCCTCGCCAGTAAATCATGGAACTGCCGTGACGAACGTTCCCGCTGATTTCCTTTCTCATTTCGCGATTTTCCGGGATGCATTTAATCGGGGACCATTTTTCCGTTTCACCGTGCGCGCCGAGTGACCAGACGGAAGTCTCTAAATTTGGTATTACGAATCGCCCGAGACCGACGGTAGAGAAGGAATTGTTCAAGGTCTATCGATGCTGCAAGGTGAGACCTCTGAACTTCATGAAACAATGCTGCAACTCTGCTCAATAATTCGTTTTTTTTTTCTTACAAATTTTTATTTAATGTGCCATATTTGCTGGCAATAACTCGTCCATGTACTAGAAAATGAAATAGTATCAACAATTATGTATTAACCCCCTGCACTTAAGAAGTGACTGTCAATCAGAGATTGAAAACAGTTGTGATATCAGTTTCGGTTCTTGAAACAGTTATGAAGAACTGAAATTAGTTATAACTGATATTCGGCATATCGGTTCTGAGCTATATCGGTTTCGGTTCCGGTTCTTCAGTACCAATGCAATATCGGAAGCGATATTATAATAGTCGGAACCTTTTCAATCTCTACTGTCAGTCACCACTTGATTTGATTTTGAAGTTTCATATATAATGTTAAGCTTTTGATAATGCATCAATACGTGAAATACTGAAATAAAATAACATTGTTTCTTAATACTTTCGCGACTAGAAACGTAGTTCTGCGCCATTTCAAATTCTTTAATTGAATACATTTTATCAAGAAAAACACTTTTTCCATACGCATTTTTAATGTTCATTTTTTAATGCTTTGAACAACCAATGACTATAATATTGTTAGTAATAAACAAATAGTGAGCCATCAATTTTGTTGCACCTTGTACAAAATCGACATTAGAATAATTAATCAAAATAATTAAGAATAATTAATCAAACAGAATAAGAATTTAAAGAAGATTACAGAGAATAATAGTAGCGTAGATAAGTTTGCTTATGTGATTTAAATGTCATATGAACGGAATAAAATGTAGCATAGGAATACAAATTACAAAGTACAAAATTGAATGACAGTAAAAGCGTAATTTTTTAATTTAATAACCCTAAAAACATTTGATGTAGGCAGATAGTAAATCTTAGAATTTTAATAAGTAAATTTAATAGACGCGTTGGGAAGTATAAATCTTAATTCGTAGTTTCACAGTTTCGAAAGAAAAGAGAGTGACGCGGGTATAATTAAAAAATGGTAATACGGTGTGTAAATCGAAAGTGAGACATAAGAATAGTTATACGCCCGAAAAGAGGTTTCCTCGCAGCAGTGGAGCTTAACGAAGTAAAATGCACTTGGTATGCAACACTGTTTATTGTGTCTAACGATAACGATTGAATTTATCTGGAATGAATCTCCAGACTCTCAGTGATCGCTTGATTAACCGGCAAGAATCTTCCTCTCGTTATTCATCAGCCTGTCTCTCATCTAAGACATGATCTTTTTTCGTGCGGCGAACACCTCGATCCCCGAGGGAACCGTTTATTCATCATTGTATCCTTTTCACACTTGAACTTTCGTCCGAATAATCAGTCCCACAGTCTTGACTTTCCCCTTAAAGTCTGAGGTGCAATCCGACGGTGATTACGAGTCCACTGGAAACAATGGTAAAAGAGCTTGGCTCGTATCCAGCGAGTCATCGTGTTGCGGTTTTCTTCGATAGCGTAAACGCTAGGACCGAACGTCTGGTAATTGATCATTTTCGATTGCCTCTCTTCTTACATCTTCATTTTTCTTCTTTTCTCGTTTGGCATCTTCATTTTCTTCTGTCTTCTTTTGACATCTTAATTTTTTTCGTTTCTTCTTTTTGCATTTTCATTTTTTGTCTGTTTTCTTCTGACATCTTATCCTTTTTATTTTCTTTCTTCTTTCCAAAGGAATTTCAAAGGAATTTCCATAGTTCCATTAAAAATTTTACTTGCTCCTTTTTTTGCTCTATTCGCTTCGAAGAGCGAAGAGCGAAATCAATTTATTTTTAAATGGTTATAGTAACCATAAGTTTGATCAGATCCTAGCATAACCTGGTTTAAA